AGAAAGCTCTCGTTGTTCTAGACGATCTAAACAAGAAAGAACAACTTAATAAACTAGTGGGGGGGCCCGACATTTTTGGTTATGGGAGTAGGATTATCGTTACAACAAGAGATAAACGGATTCTGGATGAAGTGGAGGGAATTCTAGCTTATGAAGTAAAGCAAATGGATTATGATAGAGCGCTAGAGCTTTTCAGTTGGCATGCCTTTGATAGCGTCTCTCCTCCCGATGCTTTTCAGAGTCTCTCTCGAGAAGTTGTATCTACAACCGGGGGACTCCCATTGGCTCTTGAAGTCATAGGTTCCTTTCTTCGTCGCAAAGAACCAAAAATATGGGAGGAAATGTTAAAAAGGTTGAAGACAGCACCTCATAATGAAGTCCGGGATAAGTTGAAGATAAGTTATGATGCATTAGGAGATATGGAAAAAGAAATTTTTCTCGACATCGCATGCTTCTTCATAGAAGAAACGAAATTAAGGGCAACCTATTTCTGGGATGCTTGCGATCTATCCCCACATATCGCATTGGAAGAACTTACTGATTTGTGTCTAATTAAAATTGTTAATGGTGACGCTATATGGATGCATGATCAGCTGAGAGACCTTGGAAGAGACATCGTTCGCCAAGAATGTTATCGGAATTTGACAGGGCGCAGTAGGCTGTGGAATGACAAAGAAGCTCTGAAAGTAGTAAGGTCGAAAGAGGTAAAGTAAAAGTAAGATCCATATGGTATCAATCGTAAAATTATTTTCCTACTTCCCATTTGAAAGTTTCCTTTTGGCCATTCTGAAGGACAAGTTTAATGTTTGCAAGCTCCACCTCATTGATGTTTTCTATTGGCAGAGAAAGGATAAAGTTCAAGCACTCAATCTAGCTTCAGATAGTTGGGATCCCATCACCATTGTGGACGATGAACTTGAGAGGGTGCCTAATTTGAAATTCCTCAAGTTAAAAGTAGCAACTTTTGTTGGAGACGTCAACAATTATCTCCAGGAGCTAAGATGGCTTTCTTGGGATTTTCCTCCTCTAGATTGTAAAATGGCCAATTTGCACTTGGAAAATCTAGCAGTTTTCGAACTTTCAAACAGTGAAAACACCGAAAAATGGGGTGGATGGAACATTTTGAAGGTGTGAATTCATACTTTTGTTCTCTCAACATAGTATTCTCTCTTTGATCTTCTCTGATAATATTTCAGGGACTTTTGCAGATGACAAACAAATTGAAAGTTTTTTCTCTCTCAAGATGTAAAGGATTGAAACGGACTCCAGACTTTTCTGGATGCCTGAGTTTGGAGAGACTGTCTCTTAGTGACTGTCCAAACTTGCAAGAAGTTGACTCCTCTATTGGGAAGTTGAAAGGTCTTACTCACTTGGACATTATTCGGTGTCCACATCTTCGAACTTTGCCTGAAGAGATTGGAGAATTGGTGAATCTAAAGCACTTCCGTACGTTTTGGTCCAAAATGAAGAAACTTCCATACTCTATTGGGAAATTAGCATCATTGTCTAAGTTGGATATATCATACTGTGAAATTACAAGATTACCGGATGTTATTGGTAATGCAAAACACCTATCATACCTTAATCTATCAAGCACACTAATTGTGGAACTTCCAATTTCTATTGGAGAGCTCACACAACTCGAGTTTCTTTCACTTTGTAGATGTGAAAGGTTGAAGGAGCTTCCAGAAGCAATAGGCAAGTTGAGGTCATTACAAAAGTTGGATCTCTCATACACGAGTATTGTTGAGTTACCCGACTCGATAAAAAATCTCAAGCAATTGAAGGTGATGAACATGACATGCAGTCTGATAAGGAGGTTACCTACAAGTATTGGAATGCTAGAGAGGTTGGAGGAGCTCCATGCCCAGGATTGTGGACAACTTGCTGACGAACTTCCCACTGAAATTGGTAAACTATCGTCTTTACGAATCCTAAACATATCAAATACTCGTGTTTGTGCAGTGCCGACGGCAATCAGTTCCCTCACGCGACTCCAAAACCTGAATTTAACGAATTGTAATGAGCTTCAAGAGTTGCCAAAGCTTCCCCCGAGTTTGAACAGTCTACGTGTTCATTCGACATCATTACGGTTAGTTCCGGATCTCAGTAACCTCACGAATCTAGTGGAATTGGATTTGTATAGCGGCTTTGGACAAGCACCTGCTCAGGCATCAAACCCGATGCAAACTCCTCAATTGCAATGGGTTGGAAAGTTACCTAAGCTGGAGAAGTTGAGCTGGGGCCTTTTAGATGTTCCTCTGCCATCAGCGGAGTTGGATTGCCTGCCTCAATCAAGAGAACTTGTTATTTCTGGCACGGACAGTTTCGAGTCAGTAATTGTTGTACCGCAATTTTCCAACTTCAAAAACTTGTCCATGTTGCGTCTTCATCACTCTCCACTGAGGGAAATTCAACTCGATGGGTTTGAATTATTGAGAGACTTGATTGTGAAAGAATGCGAGTTTCTCGAGGGATTGTCAATTATTTCATCAAGCATGAGGAAGCTCTTCAAAATGACAGTTTTGAAGTGCCCAAAGCTACTTGAAATTCGATTCCTCAGTACGATGGAATCATTGGAGGAACTTCGAGTTATAGAGTGCGATTCCCTAGGAGGGTTGTATGGTTTATCAAACTTGAAGAAGCTGAAGGCTTTACAGGTCCACCATTGCGATGGGCTGAAGGTTGTCGAGGGCCTTGAAGAATTGGAGCTTTTGAGGCTTATCAATATTCACTACTGTGGATCCTTGGAAAGGTTGATCGATGAATCCACTTCAAAGATACCAAATGAATGCTCGATATTTGTACTGCATTGTGCGAAATTAACAAGTGGCTGTCCTACGCGTTACGGGAAATACAGAGAGAGGCTTCTTGACGGGACAAGGAAGACATTCAACGAGGTTCGCCTTCTTTCTACCCTTCACTTTTTTTTCAAAATTTTTATTTTTTGGAAACACGCTTAGTAGGCGTGACTTTTCTTTCCATTGTTCCGTTTGCTTCCATCTCTCTTCTCTCTCTCATGTATTAATTCATTTATGTGCGTGGGACGTATATATAGAGAGATGGAAGTTTTGTGGTAAAGCGAAAATAATAAATGTTCCCTAAAACCAAACTAACACCAAATTTTCTTTCAATTACGTGGGAATCCGTAAGTGGAGAAAAGAATCTAAGGTAGAGAAGATGAGATCCTAAAATGTCACTCGAGTCGAACTAAATGTCAATTTCAGAATTTATGTTTGCAAGGAGTACCCTTGTTAATCTAGACGCATAGACGCACTTGGTGGATAGTCTAGAAGGTGAACACCCGAGATGATTATTAACTCTTTCACGGGTCAACCATCCGATGGTGAGTGCGTAAGTTATTTCTACCACCGGCAATTGACATAATAAAGATCGTTTATATAAACATGAAAACGATCGTGTTAATATTTCACCAACCAAAGATAAAAATCTCACACGCGAGCACAAAAGTAGAAGCTCAACTGCTCTTGGTTGTTCGAATAGATTTCTCTTAAGCGACTACACTTTTCCTTTTATATTTTAAAATGAAAAAATAATATATATAAACAAATATATGAATTATATTTTTTTGAAAAAAAAGATTTGAGGCGTTACAAATTGGGTGAGCCATGAGAAAAGGAAAAATAATGGAAAAGGATATACCAAAAATAGAGTTAGCATATATGCAATACTCACCTGTCAACGATGTTCTACTTCAGAAGGCCAGCATGTGAAATAGTACAACTCTATCATTTGTCCAAATTTTAATTATTGCTTGATATTCCAATTTTTTCTTGTCAAAGGATTTATTCTAGTTTTCTAAAAACAGAAAGAATTCTTGAAAAAAAATAAAGAGATGCCTGTAGAAAACATATAATTCGTGATATATGTTTATTTACTCAAATAGTGAAACATAATGTTTTCTTTTCTTAATAGCTCAATCTGATTAGAGTAAAATACGAAATAGCCAATAAATGTGGGTGAAATATGTACATAGCTAATAGATATATAATTGTTATACTGCCAAATTATTGGATAATTATGTTAAGTTCATCAAGTTCTTTTTTATGGATATCTGTCAAAGCTAATAAATCTATCGATTATGCTAGATATACTAGCAATTGTTTGCATAATTGGTTTTCAAAGTGATGTGTGATCAAGGTGTATAATCTACTTATATATGAAGAAAATGATATAAGTTACGCTACAAAAATCTTTAAGTTAAGATGGTTAAGTTGGATGAAAAAAAGTTTAGCACTTGCTCAAATAAAGGGAATCGAACCGCCAATTAAATTTATTACTAGGTTTGAGTAATAACTCTGGAGTAAGAAAAGAAAACTCCTCATTTAAAAGCCATGTCCGCATGAGGCATACGACGATACATATTCTACTATTTAGTGCTCCTCTTTCTACTATTTATCAACAAATCGATTATGAGCAATTCATTGAATTTTCTGCATAATTCGTAAACAAATAGAATAGGTATTGTGCCTTAAATACGATATGAAGCATTGTAATGTTCCAAGCATTGTAATGTTCGGACTTCAAAGGGGATGGATTAGATGATATTGAAATTTTCTTATGCTATAATACTTGGAGAAGACTGATTCATTTTTTTCTTGTTCTAGGAAGATGTAATGGAAGATGCAGAAAAATATCGATGGATACCAAGAACTGGTATCCTCGTAAGTACAGGGTCTCCAGAAGCCGGCACTGAGCTCGGCTCTAGAAGTAAGTTGCTGCTGTTAGAATGAATATGCTGCCATCCTGTCACACGAGCTAACATTAGCTCACCAAAATTCAAAAACTAATGGGAATTAGCTACAGCTTTGGATGCTTTGCTGCTATAAGTTAGGATATGATTTCAGCTATTAGCTTACCTCGATAGTACATACTAACTTGCAAGTTTGAATGACTTTCAGTCTCCTCCACGAACCACATCTTGGGATGTTTCCAAGTGTTTGTGCCCAATACTGTAAAATGTGACTGATTCAATCGATGGAGAGATGAATGAATACACAATGTGATCGAGTGTGGGAATCTTGTGAAATTGCGAGAGATAATGAAGTTTACTCTGCTTTGAGGACATGTGCCCCCCTCTTCCAGGTCCGCCACAAGGAAATTTATTGTTGATTTGTCCGAGGTAATTAATTTCTATTTTGTTAAAATCCAATTGTGTGCCACATCGATTTCCGATGCATATGATGCTTTTCTTGAAAGTGCGCAATATGAAAATACTCGGACCGGGGCAAGCTCTAGGTATCAGTATGTTCAACTAATAATTTTTATGCCATAGGTCACTGTTTTTTTTAAGCAGTAAGAAGTCATTTTTAAACGGTTAATGAAGAAGATGACCTCTTGACAAAGTGGAATAACAAAAGTGGAAACAACGTGCCTCTTGACCTTAAGCTCTTCTCACTTTGCAGATACAGAGGAGAGCTCTATTGCTCCGTGCTATTGTTCGAGTTTTCGGGAATTGGATTTATGGACTTCACTGGATAAAGCAGGCTGCTAAGGGACTAGTTCCAGATTGTTTATGCCGAACCTACTGTGGAATGGTTCCATAAACAACATATGGAGAGCTAGGAGTGACTTGCTGCATAATCAAGTTACTCCTCCTGTTGATGTCGTGATGAAGTCTCTTATGTTTGCAATAAGACTTAGTATCGAAGGGCACTAGCTGCTGTAGCAAAAAGTTAATTCTGATTTGGCATTGGCCTTAAGTTCTAACTGGCAGGTTCACCTTTAGCCGAACGCGAGTTGGTGTGCTTGGCCTTCAGTAACTAGTCCTGCAACTGTTTTTGGACATTTGGGCAGATACCGTCCCCGTTCTATTTGGAGCTACTGTAGTTGCTTTACTAGTGTGCTAATGATATTGTTGGGTTTGGAGAAATAACATTGAGTATGTAATTTTGGAAACCTTTATATATTTTATGAAGATCTTTAATTTATCAACTTTCAGGATAGTAGGTTTTAAGTTTGCAAAGGTGGAATTTGAATGTATGCTGGTTTCATAGTTGGCTAATACCTTTGTTCATACCATCGTTGGAGCATCCGCTAGAGTTGATGCATAGAAATATAATGATATAATTTAAATGACCTTTTACCTTTTATATGTCACTTATTTATTTTTTTATTTTTTTTGTGTTTGGGACATATGTCGTTTGTTTAATATATGGAATACCTCAATTTTTAATGCCCCGTGTATGTTTGCAATTACATTTAAAGTGGGGGCTCTACATCAAACAAGATATCCACGGAGCTCATTTCTTAGTTCACCCGTTGTAATGGCCTCCTCTTTCTTTCTTTTTTTCGGCTTTCGGCCCATCTTCCTGGCTTTTCAGCTTATAAAAGTACATGTTCACAGCAAAAACTGTGTGGCGATCGAAAGTGAGGATTTGGTCCCATCTTTTTATTGGGCTTATCACTGTGAAGTGGCTCTTTTTGCGCAGCCATGGTTGACCATCCACATCTCCAACTTACGGTGGCTCTCATGTCACCTTCATCTCCTTGGCTTCAGGGTCCACATGCCCAATTGGTTGAACAGCTTGTGCACTTTGGATTGGAAGCCAACGTAATCGGGAAAAGTGCCAAAAAAGTTCTAAACCTTTTGCATTAATATCAATTTAGTCATAAACCTTTTTTTGATGTCAATTCAGTCCTAAATCTTTTGCATTTGTGCCAATTTAGTCCTAAACTTTTTTTGGTGTCAATTTAATCTTAAACATTTTGCATTGGTGTCAATTCAGTCCTAAACCTTTTGTCTTTGTGTCAATTTAGTCCTCCTGATTAATTTTGGCCATATTTTGCTGACGTGGACGTTGGTCGGCTAGTCACCGGAGCTGACGTGTACAACTTTAATAATATTTTAATTTTTTTTGAATTTTTATTTATTCTTTTCTTTTCTTTTTTTTTTCCTCCTCCCCTCCCTCCTTCCTCTAGCTGGCGCCGGCGAGGCTCGCCCTCACCAGCGACGGCGAAGGCGAGCCTCGCCCAGCCATGGCGAGGCTCGAGCCCTTGCCAGCGGCCAGGGCTCAAGCCTCGCCATGGCTGGGCGAGGCCGCCCTCGCCAGTGGCCAGCGAGGGCGAGCCTTGCCGGCCTCTGGCCTCTGGTCGATCGCCGGTCCGACGACCGGCTGGAGGAAGGAGGGAGGGGAGGGAAAAAAAAAGAAAAGAAAAAATTCAAAAAAATTCAAAAAATTAGTAAAATATTATTAAAGTTATCCACGTTAGCGCCGGTGACTGACCGTTGGCATGCCGGCGTCCACGTCGCAAAATCCGACCAAAGTTGGCCGGAATGACTGAATTGGCACAAAAACAAAAGGTTTAGGACTGAATTGGCACCAATATAAAAATTTTAGGACTGAATTGACATTATAAAAAGGTTTAGGACTAAATTGGCACCGATACAAAAGATTTAGGACTGAATTAGTACAAAAAAAAGGTTTAGGACTAAATTTACATCAATACAAAAAGTTTAGAACTTTTTTGGCACTTTTCCCCAATGTAATCGTATAGACTAAGTTTTTGTTGAACAACTCGCTAGAGTTTGTCGTGAAAAGGCTTCTCTGCGCGCAAGTGGTTGACCTCGGGTCAACGTATTGAGAGCTTGTTGCTTATGTCCTATAATGATTTAAAGTTGTACATCAAGCTTGATGTTAGTTTCTTGTGCTCCTAGGTTCTTGAAGCTGGGGCAATTTGCCCCTCCCACATGTAGTTCGAATTTCGCTTCAAATTCCAGTTTGAACTTTCGTCACATACTCCCAAGTGACTACACGATGCCCATTGCGAAAAGGGTAAATCCGTCAAGCAAATTCAGGGGAGTTCTGTATCGCTTCTGACAAATTGTCTCCGGATGTGTTTTTGTAAGGTGACACTGATCTTCTAGAATTTGTTTCGATGCTCTTCCAACATTAAAGTTAAAATCAAAGTAAAATAACTGTACTTGTGGAGTAAATGAAGAGAAGAAAAAGAGAGGAAAGAAGGTAGATTAGATAGAGAGAGAGAGAGAGGGTAGATTACGCCCTCCTCGAGGAAGATTAATCCTTCCCCGAGGTGACTCGGTTGACACCAAAAATTGTCCAAATCTTTGGTCATCCACTTGGTTGGCAAAGACTGAGTTAGATGTGACAGAGGCAAAATATGCTCAGTGTTGAAGGCTTTCTGTAACGTCCTTACCTCAAGATTATTAATATAACGTTTCAGATTCGTCACCGTCCCATTTCTTTTATCTGATTAATAAGCACATGTGGATACGTGTACAAACAAACTCTCAAACAAAATAATAGCTGGAAATCAGGAAAATCACAACAGGCAAAACACACTATTACCATATTACATAAACATATTTCACAAGCCCTTTTCTACTGGCCGTTCCACGTACAAACCATATCTGGTTTTATCACAAGCGAAGGCAGGGGTTAATCCTAACTCCTCTACGTCAACTTCCATCTTGATGAGTACACCAAAACGAACCGGGGACGCGGAGCTCATTCTAAAAACATGGAAAACAATGAGAGTGAGTTGAAAACTTAATGAGTAAATTCACTAATACTCGTGTAGCATGATGCCTCACCGTCGTACTAACACATATAATTATTTTCCTTGCCTTATAGCGATGGCAAATCAATAGCAAAGACTTTGACCTTGCCCTTGCTATGTTTATATAAAAGCTCATCTTTGTCCGGTCACATAAAATTGTACAAGAAAATTTACACGTGAAGTCTTGCAACCAATCGGCATGCAAAAATACCCGAAAATATTCACACGTGAATTCATTTATTTTACAGTCGAAATCTATCGGGGTATTGCCTCCTTAATACGTAGGTGACGAGTTCTCTCGGATCCTTCGGGTATCCGGAAACTTTTGACTTATCAATAAACACACAGACCGACACACATATAAGATTCATTTATCGTCATCCTGGCTCAACCAGGGCATCCCAGCTCAACTCAGGCATCCAGCTTCGTGCTAGGCATATCGGCTCAACCAAGGCATCTCGGCTCAACCGAGACATCCCGGGACTAGCTTATTGAGGCATTCGGGCTCAACCTAGGACATCCCGGCTCAACTGAGGCATTGCCGCCAATGTTATATGACGACGGTCTTCTTTTTTCATTTAGCGATCACACATCATGGATTGCACAAGCCGGTTTATTATCCTCTATCTTAACCCATGCATACAAGGCCCTAGCTTTAGTTGCTATGTACACATGAAAAGCTCACATGCTCATAAATCAACAAGCATGGTTAAGAACATCAATATGTCACACAAACTACCGCATCTAAGTGTCATGCAACCATGCACAAGAACAACGTAAAATAATTCGCACGGGGTTCCTTTATTTCATAATTGAAATCCATCGGTGACGGTTTAGTCCCTCGTATGATCATGCGATAGCAAACATGATTTCGGTTCTTGTCTTTCATTTTTAGTTGAATCGAGAATGAAGCCCGAGGGCGTGCAAAACACGTATACGAAATGACTTACCGTGGTTGAGTACAAATAGGCATGTCGGGCACGAATCAAGACCCGAGACTCGAATCGCTATACTTTAGCACCGACCTAGACCAAACTTGACATTGGAACGATATTCCTCAATATCGTCCAAGCCTAAGAGAGGCCCGATCCGACGTGCTTACGTTTCACGTTCAATGCCGATGGGAACCTTTTCTTCGATGCACGGGATGTGTTCGACTCTCAACAAAATGAATCATGAGCAAACCATACAATAACAAGCACAAACTTGTATAGGTGTACACACGAAGAATTTCACTTAAGAACAAGTACACCACCGTTAAAAACAAAGTCATCTCAACAATAATAACGGTCAGATGAATATTGCTAGCAAGAACCAAAGCCCATAAGAACAAAACCGTTTCAAGCAACAACAACTTCTCAAGCCGCGTTCCAACCACGTAACACACCGCCCTATCCAAGTGTTAGGGAATTCACTCACTTGCAAGCACAAGACAATATCTACGGGAGTCGAACGGGTAAACGGCGGTTGGCGGCGGCGAATGAGCGAGAGAAAGAGAGGCGTGTAAGAGAGCTAGGGGAGGAAGAAGTGAGTTCCAAGATGAGAATGGATGAGAGGCTCATCCTATTTATAGGCACCATCCTCATCATTACCTTTCCAAGTGGCCCAATCATCTTCTTTGAAGTGGCACGCCTAGAGTACCGAGGTGGCAACCCTAAAACGGCAAAGTGGCAAGTTTAAGGCCCTAGGAAGAACACTTGTTATCTTTCTATTGGAACACTCATTCCTATAATGATGACTCAGCTAATTTGTTTTCTAAGGAAAATCTAAATGTAATGATTTACTAAATCTATCATTGCCACCTAAGAGGGTGAGTCATCTCTTTCATTTAATACCCAAGATATGGTTATCATTGGATTTGGATTTTAGTCACATGTTTCTACCCAAAACTTGCTCTCCAAGTTTTTGACTCTTCTAGAATCTTCCCTAAGCCTCCTTCTTGCCTCTTACTTTCAAGACTCACTTTAGGGTAATGATAGCCCTAATTCTTGGGGACACATAAGCTTGCATTAAATGGCTAGCTTCCAAGAGGAGTTAAGGCAACTTAGTCTTCAAGACAACTTGTTCCTCAAGCCACAAAAATAGGTAATTATGCCCTAAGTAGTTTAGGGACACCTAAGCCTAGGAAATCATATCTCATTAGAAACCTCAGTATGTATAGATTTTATCTTCAGAAGACATCAAATCGAAATCCCAACGTCCTCGTATAGAAAATGATGAATCTTTGCAATCTGGCAAAACCCAGCAGTTTTTGCACTGTTCTAGAAATCAGACTTAACAACATAGTAAATGGACTCCGAAAATTCTAAAATTTGAATATGTCATAGACAAGACCTTAAAAAATATTTCCCATGAAGAATACGAAATATGGATCTTTCTTTAAACATAACTTTTAGTAGCTCAAAGACAGACTAAAAACAGTTTACTAGAACAAAATCCTTGCTTCTCAAATTAAGCTCTTTCTAGAATCCAAATCATCTCCAAAAATTCTCAAATTTTTATACATTATATAGAAAGAAGTTCTCAACAACTTTTGTGAAGGAAATTTATTAAGAATCATTCTAGAAAAACGCTTAGAAAATCAAGAAAGTGTAAAGGTTACAGAAATAGCAACACTGACGGTTCAAACCCATTTAGAAAATGGTCTTTTGTACAAACCAAATCATATTAAAAAAATCTGAATTTAAAGTATGTTGTACTTAAAGATATTGGGAACAACTTCGATGAAGAAAGTTTCTTAAATTTGGTTCACAAAAATCTCCACAAAAATAACAAAATGAAGAGGTGCAGAGGACACGAATCTGGATTTTCCAGAACAAGAACACGAATTGAGTCCAAATGAGAAAACCACCGGATTTGATTCAGCAAAACTCAATTCTTAGCAAAATCAAGGGTATAAGAAGATTGGAAGGCTTAGAAATGAGTCTTATCTTCTTGCTCAGAGGTACGAGTAGGGCACGTCTCGCGTTCAAGACCGATCCCCGATCCCTTGGCAAACCGATTCATAGCCATTTCCCGGGGACTGAAATTGAGGATGTTACAATTCTCCCCCTCAAAAGAATTTCATCCCCCAAATTTAAAACGTACTTAGGGTTTAGTTTCCCCTTCCTACTTGAAATTCTAAAGGCTTCCGTCGTCTATCCATATAACCTTTTTGGTCTTCTTTAGGTAGTCCTAAGCCTATTTCCACTTACCTGCACGGCATCAGTCATAGTTTGGATTAGACTGGACCAGTGACCTTCCTTTTCCTGACCTCGTTCCAATAGACTGGAGTTCTACAAGCTTGACCATTTAATGCTTCAAATGGAGCCACGCCCATGCTATGCTGGAAACTGTTATTATCGACGAACTTGACGAGATATAGGTGTTCATACAAACTCGTAACATATCTTCTTGATTTCAGGGTTGTCTGCGGTAACGCCTAAATTTTCGGAAGTATTTCCGATTTGACCATGCTTTCGCTGCGCCACTCTGATAAAATCTTCCTCAAAGATAGTTTACTCTTATATTGATGTCAATGCCGTATAGGACCCACACGACTAGATTTACTATGCCCTTTTATTTTCTTATAATAATCCTACATCCTTAGCATTCTACGGTAGACAGTATTCAGTGATGACGGTCTTGGAATTTTTTGCTTCCTCTTGAGTGATTGCATAAACCCTTCCGTGAGCTGGCGGACACTGGAAATTATCGTATTGCAGTTCTCCATTTTGCTGCATCGTATGCGGCTGCTGCAGCAGCATTATTTGCCGTCATTATGGGTAATCTCTGATGATGTGGCCTTGCTAACCACAATAGAAGCAAGCTCTAGTTTGAGCAAGCACGGAGCGTTGCCGTGTCGTTTTCCGCAATTGCGGCATACATCACTTGGAGCGAAGGTTGGCCTTAGGGTCTTATTCTTCTTGTTGGAAGCAAATGGACGTTCTCCTCCCTGTATTGGCCTCTTGTCATGATGTTGATTGACTTGAGAGGCTGGATGATGAGGCCTTCCTTGGTTAGTGGTGGCAGCTCACTCCAATGAATCTTTCTTTATCAGTTGAGCTCGTTCGTACAGCTCGTTGTAGTCTTTAAGATTTAGCGGCTCCAATTGACTTCAGATGTCAGGTTTCAAGCCATCTCGGAACCTCTTCACTGTAACATCCTTAATTTCAGTCCCCGGAAAATGGTTATGGATCGGTTTGCCAAGGGATTAGGGATCGGTCTTGGATGCGACACGTGCCCTACTTGTACCTGTGAGCATGGAGATAAGACTCATTTCTAAGCGTTCCCAATCTTACCCTTGATTTTGCTAGAATTGAGTTTGTTGAATCAAATTTGGTGGTTTTGCCATTTGGACTCAATTCTTTGTTTTGTTCTGGAAAATCTAGATTCGGATCCTCTGTACCTCTTTGTTTTGTTATTTTTGTGGAGACTTTTGTGATCCGAATTTCCAAACACTTCCCCTTAAAATTTTTCCCAAACATCTTGAAGTTTTACATACTTTAATTTTGGAAATTTTGGACATGATTTGAGTTGGACGATCACCTCATTTTCGAACCGTGTAAAACTGTCCAGAATGGGTATTTCTGTAATGTTTACAATTTCTCGATTTTAGACAAACTTTTCTAGGCCAAATTTGAACAAACTTCTTTCACAAAAGTTGTTGAGAACTTCTTTCTCTATAACATATATAAATTTGGGAATTTTTTGAGATGATTTGGATTCTGGAAAGAGCTTATTTTGAGAAGCAAATATTCTGTTCCAGCAAACTATTTTTAGTCTGTCTTTGAGCTACTCAAAGTTGTGTTTAAAGAAAGATCCAGATTTCGTGTTTTTCATGGGAAATGTCTATTAAGGCCTTTTTTATGACATATTCAAATTTGAGAATTTTCGGAATCTATTTACTATGATTTTAAGTCCGATTTCTTGAACAGTGCAAAACTGCCCAATTTTGCCAGATTTCAAAGATTCATCATTTTCTATATGAGAACGTTGGAATTTTGATTTGATGTCTTCTGGAAACAAATCCTATACATTCTGAGCTTTCTAATGAGATATGTTAAACTTTGATTGGAGGTCACGTGATTGGCGAAATGAGGCTTTACATGTGGAGGCAGAAGCTGAAATGTGTTATGACTTGTCTATTTGTGCATTATTGCCAACTTCTTGAACACGTTGGTCAATAATGGAGACCCCTCCCCCAATGATGAAGTTGTCTTGCATGAGCCAATGATTGTGACCTCTAGCGAGTGATTCACGCCCAAAGAGCGGGATTCATGGACAAGAGACAAATAAGACAACTTCTTTAGCAAGTTGTCAATAATAAGACTTATCTTGTAAGGGTGTCAATGGGTTGGGTCGGGTCGGGCTTTCTTGATACCCGACCCGACCCAAAACCTACAAGGTCATGCTTGACCCGCCTAGACCCACCCGAGACCCTGTTCACCGTACACCCCAAGGCCCGAGCCGGGCCGGGTTTGGTCGGGTCGGGTTTCGATTTCTTTTTTTTTTTTTCCCGCGCAGATAGATTGGAATTGTGAACCCGCCGCAAAAACAGAACCGAATCATCAGATGACTAACCAGGTTAGGTTGGTTCTGTTCTCTTATTTTTTCTTTTCATATGCACAAGACGGAAAAATGATAATAAAGACGATTTCCAACACTACGCCAGAATCTCTTTTCTTCCTACTCTCACTGTGTGAGTACCATCTCAGAACAAGTTTTGTAGTACAAAGTAACTAAAAAAAAAGAAAGAAACTAAAACAACATTAACGAACAGCAATGACTGGAATTTTCTCACTCCTCAGCAAGACTGGCTTGTTTCCAATTACTAATACATCTTCATGGGTCGACATTCCAAAGATAAAGCTAGTGCAAAAGGGTTGGACTCCGAATTTCTTTTCCCCGTCGATGCAGTGTCGCCTGCAAGTTGATAGACGCAGCGCATTAGTATGACACGGGCTTGATCAATTCAAAGCGTGAGAGACAATTCTCATTATACAGTGGGAGAAATTGTTGAAAAATCACTTACCACTAATGAGAAGTCAAAGACAGTGCTCATTAATCATAATACAAAATGGGAGCACTGAATCTGGATTGATTCTAAGATTAGTTCATAAGAAAAGGGTTAACAAAGATCTAGCACCAGACGTTACTGAACTAGAAGTGGTAGGTGAGATATCATTAAGTTTGTTGCTAGGAAGGACCTCACATGCATACCTTGGATCACTATTAGCCAATGATATAATGTCATCCAACTTTGGTATGTCACGTAAGTCAACTGGAAGGAGCTTGTAATGTTCACTAATCACTTCTCCCTTTTCTACACAAGTTAAAGCAAGCTTAAGATCATTAAAACAACCAAAAAGAACAAAATAATCAACACATAATAAAATTTTAGACAAATTCATGCATCTGAACATAAGAGGCATACTGCTACAATGGATAGTAAGGACGATATGCTAGAACCATGAAAGTAGAACATGAAGTGCATATTTAAGACAGATCAAACCAGAAGCAGCACATGCATAATTGACTAAGTTTAATTTTGCAAGCAAACATAAGAAGGCCCCCTAAATGAAGACATATACAGTAACTATATACAGGAACTCAACATACATCTAAGTGGGAGCTAATAATTAATAATTGTTAAATGAGCTTTGATAACTAATCTGTGAAGAAACTGAGTACCCCTTTACGAATAATCTACAAAAAAGCTTCAGGAGACCCTCACTACAAACAAACCAGCACCTCTGACACGGCTGATCAAATGATGAATACATCTACCAATCTACCACCCTATAAAGGTAAAAGTACACCAGAAGTGCCATAACTTGTGTACGGCGATCACTTTGGTGCCATAACTTTTTTTCGGATTACTTTGGTGCCAAGTCGGAGGAAAAAAGATCACTTTAGTGCCAATTTGGCCGGAAATCCGACGTGGTATTTTTTTTTTATTAATTTTTGACGCCGACGTGGCTCGCCGAAGGCTGAGTCAGCGTGTACAGTCAGCATTTTTTATTTTAAATAATTTTTTCCAACGTGTACAGTCAGCATTTTTAATTTTAAATATTTTTTTTCCTCTTCTTTTCTTTTCTTTTTTTTTTTTTTTTCTTTTCTCCCCTCGCCGACCGGTTGCCGGTGGCCGGCCGGCCACCGGTGAAGCCCGGGAAGGGTTGGACGAGGGCGACCTTGCCCATGGCCGGCGAGGGGCGACCTCGCCGGCGACAAGCGAGGCCGCTCCTCGCCGACCAAGGCGAGGGCTGCCCTCGCCAGATCTGGCGAGGGCGACCCTCGCCGGCGTCGGGCGAGGAAGCCCTCGCCCAGGCGGGCGAGGTCGCCCTCGCCCGGCTCGGGCAGGGCGACCCTCGCCCGGGCGGGCGAGGTTGCCCACTCCCGGCTCGGGCGAGGCGACCCTCGCCCGCCCGGGCGAGGGCTTCCCTCGCCCAACGCCGGCGAGGGTCGCCCTCGCCAGATCCGGCGAGGGCAGCCCTCGCCTGGGCCAACGAGGGGCGGCCTCGCCTGTCGCTGGCGAGGCCGCCCCTCGCCGGCCATGGGCAAGGCAGCCCTCGCCCAGCCCTTCCCGGGCTTCGCCGGTGGCCGGCCGACGAGGGGAGAAAAGAAAAAAAAGAAAAGAAAAGAAAAAGGAAAGAAGAGAAAAAAAAAGGAAAAAAATATTTAAAATAAAAAATGCTGACTGTACACGCTGGAAAAAATTATTTAAAATAAAAAATGCTGACTGTACACGCTGACTCAGCCTCCGGCGAGCTATGTCGGCGTAAAAAATTAATAAAAAATGCCACGTCAGATTTCCGGCCAAATTGGCACTAAAGTGATCTATTTTCTTCCGACTTGGCACCAAAGTGATCCGAAAAAATGTTATGGCACCAAAGTGATCGCCGTACACAAGTTATGGCACTTCTGGTGTACTTTTGCCCCCTATAAATCACCATGTACTTCATGAAAACAATGCCACATTAATGACAAGCATCACGTTGAAAAATATTATTCTTAACGATAGCCACTGGATCCCATGGTAAGTACAAAAGGATCTGTAAAAGGAAAAGAAAGAGCATAACAATGACAACAAAAGAAGATAGTTGAGACCATATTAATAACATTACGTAAGATGAGTTGCATCGCAAATTGATTATTGAGGTCAAATATTGAATTCGTACTTATATCCTTATCCAAGATGCAAACATGAACAAGATTCTTTTTACTTTGAAAAACATGCATAACTATCAGAAACTGGGATACCATTTTCATGCTGCACATGGTTTAGAAAATCAATTATTTCAAGAATGGTTAAAAAAGTCAGGCCAATGATGAAAGAAAAATGTGTGCATTAACAGCTGGCGGGTCCTTTAGGTCATTCAATGCCACATTTATTAGCATAAAAAAAGACCAAATTTGTGCATAAATGACGGGCTTGACATGAAAATACTCCTGTGTCTAGAGAAAGAAAGATAGGCAAGATAATAACAACTCATACTGAAAGTGACACTGACACATTCAGTGGTGCTAGAATAGGGTGAAACTGATTGCTTTCACAATTAGCATTGCACAGGCATTGATTGTCTCCATCATTGTCCCTGATCGTCAAACTCGAAGCTCCATTGGAGGAGTTGCAGTAGATTTCTAAACCCGCGATCTCTACAACTTTATGGACTTGGCCTTTTGTGCTAGGCAAAGGAGAAAAGAGAACTTTAGGTTTCTCACTAAGACAAAAATCAATCAAACGAGCACCATAAAGCTGTAAAAGAAAGTAAGAGAAAGAAGTAAATAGGCATGTAAATATCCTAACTTCTAAGCACCGAGTTCCAAAGCAGATCATCAAATAATGGGACTTCTATTTGTTGAATACAGTCAGTTTGGCTCTTCTCACATCTCAGGGGGGAAAAAAAGGCCACCACCAAGCTACAATCTCAACAACCACAGCTAGTTTGCGACAGCGCAATACAACGACTCCATGGAAATTCGTCTTCCAGAGAGAGAGAGAGAGAGAGAGAGAGAGAGAGAGAGAGAGAGAGAGAGAGAGAGAGAGAGAGAGAGAGAGAGAGAGAGAGAGAGAGGGGGTAACCTGGACTTCTTGGAGAGGAGCTTGTTCTTGTTGATCTTGCGGCCGCCGCCCTCGGTGGTGTTGCTGGCTCCGTCCTTCCACTTGTCCGGCACTATCACCTTCGACAGCTTCTTCTCACCTGAACCCAAAATTCAAACACCCAATCAGAGACACCCAACACACACGAAATCCGCAGAACGCGATCGATATCACGCTCCGCAATTGCTTTGTACAAGCAATTTGTTCCCTTCGCCAAAGCGCGAACGGAATCGATCAATCGAGGGAAGGAATGAAGGAAGACGAAATGCTCACTGACCTTCTCCATAACCTGCGCCCAGGAAGGGCGGGAGCTCGCGAGCGCAAAGCGAAAGGGAGCAAATCGAGGACGCTAGGGCAAGCGGAGCGAAAAGGACAACAACAGCCTTGACGGAATCAAGGACTCGAAATGCGAACCCTAACAGAGGCGTTGCAGAGAGAGAGAGAGAGAGAGAGAGAGAGAGAGAGAGAGAGAGAGAGAGAGAGAGAGAGAGAGATACTGACCTTGAGTGACGGCGACGAGCGAAGGATGGAAAGAGATGATCGAGATCAGACGAGGTGAGGCGAGGCTCAAAAGCGTCTGACGGTGATGGCGATTGGTGACTGAGAGAGGGGATGGGTCGGCCCAGAGTGTTAATGGGTCAGCCCGACCCTACCCCAACCCTAATGATACCCCAAATTTTAGGGCCATATTCGAAAAAGATTAAAGCTCGACCCCAAAATACCCCAAATTTTAGGGTCGGACCGGGCCGGCACGGGTCGAGCCGGGCCGGCGCGGGTTTTGTTGACACCCCTATTATCTTGCAAGAAGACCAATGATACATGCCAAGCTAGGTGTCCCTTGACTAATGAAGAAGAAGATGACTCACCCTAGCAATTATTGAGTGTCTTGAAGAGGAGGACAAGAAGCTCACGTCCAAGGCGTTCTTCACGTGAGAAATGAGGGCCAAAGTAAGTTTAGTCAATGTGCAACCAATAATGAATTTGTGTCTTGAAGACCAAGACAAATGAAACACACACCTAAGTCAAGAAAGGAGGTTCACGCCTAGGAAGAGAGAGAAAGAAACCATGATGAATTACTTAGGCCTTAAATGAATTAGTAGGGTATAATTACCCTAAGTCAACAACTTGGAAACCAAGTTAGTATTATGTGGTCCTCAAGAGAAGCTTGGAGAGAAAGCCTAATAATGGCCATAGACTTTAAGATCCACTTCATCATTAACTTGGACTTTTAGGGCCTAATAACCCTAAGGTAGAAACTTGGAGACCAAGTTGTGAATGTGTGGCCTCAATTAAAGGCTTGCATAAGAAGCTTCATAATGGACAAAGACTTTCTAGGCCTTATCATAATGGAGCTTAGACTTTAGGCCAATTGCAACTTGGAGACCAAGTTTTAGGATCTTAATTGCTCCTCTAGGTCATCATGAACTCTAGATTAAAACTTAGAGCCCAAGTTAAGATTATGTGGCTAGAATTAAATCTTACTCAAGAAGCCAAATTAATGGCTAAGACTTTCAAGGCCATTTCTTCATGATCTTTTGGCTCTTCTTCATTAATAACCAAGATTTTCAAGATTAAGATAATGATGGCATTAGACTTTAGGGGCAATTTCATTATGACATTTGTCTTTTCTTCATGAATAGCTTAGTGTGGACCACTATAAATAGGCTTGGTTCCCCTTAGTTTCCACACACCACCTCCTCTTCCTCTCTCATCTCTCACTCTCATGTCTCCCTCTCTCTCCCTCACCCTTACGCCAAGCACCTTTCTCCCTCCCTCTCGCCCGTTCGCCGCCGCCGACCGCCGTTTCCCCGTTCGACCCCCGTAGACATTGTCTTTGTGCTTGTAAGTGAGCGAATTCCCTAACACTTGGATAGGGCGGTGTGTTACGTGATTGGAACGCGGCTTGAGAAGTTGTTGCTTGAAACGGTTTTATTCTTGTGGGCGTTGGTTCTTGCTAGCAATATTCATGTGACCATTATAATTGTTGAGATGACTTTGTTTTCAATGGTGGTGTACTTGTTCTTAAGTGAAATTTTTCGTGTGTACACCTATACAAGTTTGTGCTTGTTATTGTATGGTTTGCTCATGATTCATTTTATTGAGAGTCGAGCACATCCCGTGCATCGAAGAAAAGGGTTCCCGTCGGCATTGATCGTGAAACGTCGGCACGTCAGATCGGGCCTCTCTTAGGCTTGGGCGATATTGAGGAATATTGTTCCAATGTCAAGTTTGGTCTAGGTCGATGCTAAAGTGTAGCGATTCGAGTCTCGGGCCTTAATTCATGCCTGGCATACCTATTTGTACTCAACCACAGTAAGTCATTTTGTATGCGTGTTTTGTTGCACGCCCTCAGGCTTTATTCTTGAATCGACTAAAAATGAAAGATAAGAACCGAAGTCTTGTTTGCTATCGCATGATCATATGAGGGACTAAACCGTCACTAATGGATTTCGGTTATGTAATAAAGGAACCCTATGTAAATTATTTTATGTTGTTCTTGTGCATGGTTACATGACGCTTGGATGCGATAGTTTGTGTAATATGTTGATGTTCTTAACCATGCTTGTTGATTTATGAGCTTGTGAGCTTTTCATGTGTACGTAGCAACTAGGGCCTTGTATGCGTGGGTTAAGATAGAGGATAATAAACCGGCTTGTGCGACTCACGATATGTGATCAATAAATGAAAGAAGAAGACCGTCGTCACATAGTGTTGGCGGCAATGCCTCGATTGAGACTGGATGCTCTAGTTGAGCCAGGATGTCTGGGTTGACCCCAGATGTCTCGGTAAGCTAGCCTTGGGATGCCTCGGTTGAGCCGGGATACCTAGCATGAAGCTGGATGCCTCGGTTGAGCTGGGATGCCCTAGTTGAGCAAGGATGATGATAAATGAATCTTATATGTGTGCCGGTATGTATGTTTATTGATAAGTCGAAGGATTCCGGAGGATGCTTCACGTGTAAATTTTCTTGTACATTTTTATGTGATCTGATAAATGTGAGCTTTCATGTAAACATAGCAAGGGCAAGATTAAAGTCTTTGCTATTGATTTGCCATCGACATAAGCCGGGGAAAATATTTGTATGCGTTAGTACGACGGCGAGGCATTGTTGACACCTAAATTTTGTCTATTCATTTAGGATTTAATTGCATGAAAAATTAGGAATTGATTTTTAACCCCTAAACAAAAAATATTTTCATTAAATTGTGTGGCATGTAGACATTAGGCGCATTTGCATTAATAGATTTAGTGAAACATATTTTCGCTTTATTTTACTTCTTTTTTATTTTTATTTATTTAAAATTATTATAAAAAAATTAAAAAATTTAAAAAAAAAGAAAGCACGTGAAGGGCTTATCTCTCTTTGACCGTTCAACCCATTCACCAAAAGGGGCTCTGCCTCCTTCACTTACGAAGAGAAGGAAAAGCCAGAACAAAAGGCAGAAGAACAGAGAAGCCAGAGGCGGAGCAGGGGCGCGGGGGGAGTCCAGGCGATCACCCGGCGTGATCCGCGGGTCGGGGCCAGGCCGGTAGTGCGGGCTGGCGGGTGGCAGGGGCCATGCGCGTCTGCCGGCCGGCTCCGCGCCCCGGCCGCCCTTAAATCCGAGGAGAGAGAGACCCGAGAGAGAAAGACCCGAGAGAGAAAATTCCGGAGAGGGAAAGAGAGTGACGAGCTTGCTCGGCCGCGCTTGAGCGTCGTTCGACGTCTCCGGCCGCGCCGCTCGAGCCCGCGGCCCCCTTTCCTCGCCCAAGGTGGGTTTTCGTTTTTTGTTTTCTTTACGAGTTTTGAGCTGATTTCCCGAGGATTCCGGCTTGGGGGTATGCGAGGCGACCGGACGTAATCTGATCCATCAAGTTCGCCGTCGTTCGTCGCCCCCAAGCCGGATAGGGACCGCCGCAACGACACCTCCCCCTCCCCTGTTTCTGCTCGTTTCTGCTTCTATCCATTTGGCTTGCTGGCCGGAGCTCGCGGCCGTCCGGCTCGCGCGAGTTCCGGCCCGTTAGGCCTCGTGCTTGCTCCCGCTGTTTTGTGTGTCTTGTGTTGACGATTTTGGTCCGTTTCGAGCCTCGATCGAGTCCGAAATTTCCCGTTTTCGTCGCGCGCTCCAGCTGTTTGATGTTTTGCCTGAGTGAGATCTGTGCGTTGTTTTCCTCTGTACGTGATGCATTCCCGAACTAGGGCAGGAGATCAGTCCGCCTCCTTGCAGTCAACCGAGCTGGCTTGTCGTCGGCGAACGATGAAGGTCCGCAAAAGGGGGGCGACGCACGAGCAGGGGGCGACGCACGAGCAGGGGGCGACGCACGAGCAGGGAGCTTGTTTTGGCCAGTCCCTCGTCGGGGCTCAGCCGATTCGTGGCCGGCCATCCCCTCGTCGGGGCTCGGTCGGTTCGGTTTCAGTCACCGGTCGCCGCAGTGGCGACGCGGAAGGAAGCGGCTCGTGGCGGCGGTCCGGACAGCCATCGCGGGCGAAGAACTTTCGCCACTCCTCGTCGGGGTGGCGATGCGCACGGGCAGCAGCCGGAAAGGGCCCTGCCGTGAGGCCGAGCGTGCGCTCCCCGTCGGAGTGGCGGTCGGCGAGGGCAAAGCGGCGGCCGGCGTTCGCGCCGCAGGGCTGGCGCGAGTGGGTGGCACGTGCGAAGGCAGCCCCGAGCCAGGTCAGGCGATTCGAGCGCACCGGATAGGGTTTCCGGTGAGTCGGGTCGCGGGTCTGACCAGATTGGACTTCCTTTAGTACGTGGGCTTTAGGGTTTATTAGGTTTTGGGCTTTTCTTTTTTTAGTTTAGTTAGAATAGCTTTTTTTAGGGTCTTGGGGCCATTTTTTGCGGATGGGCCGAATGGTTAATTTGGGCTGAAGGTTTATTTAATCATTTAGTCATAGTGGGCTGGGCTTAGACCTTTTCTTTCTCTTTTGTTTTATTTAGGCCCTCGCAGTGGACCCGGGCAGGCGCGCCCGGGTTGGCTTCGACTCGGG